TGAGAGTGTTAAACCGGGCTCCTTGTTGGAGGCAAGGATTCTGAGGCATACTTTTTTCGTCTGACATACTTTGGACATGTTGTAAGGAGGGACCAGTTCTTGGAGAGGGACATCATGCTTGGGAGGGTGGAGGGACAGCACAGGAGGGGAAGGCCCTCTATGAGGTGTATTGATTCAGTGACTGGGGTAATCGGGATGGGTGTATCAGAGATAGTGTGATTGGCACAGGACAAAGCAGAGTTTAGGGCTGTCATACATAGGGTCGCTATGAGTCACAAGTGACTCGATGACACATAACAATAACAACAGCAACACAACCAGGAAAGGATAAAATATATGAATGGGACCTCCTAAGAATCAAGTCCCTATGCAAATCTGGAAACTTCTCCGACAGGGTAAAAAGGGAAGCCAAGGATTGGGAACAAAAATTTGGTAATGACATGTCTGTTAATGGACTTATAGATACAATTTATAAAATACATGAGCACCACAACAATATAAAGGTAAACAACCCAGTTGCAGAATGGGCACAGGATATGAAAAGACACTTCACAAGAGAAGACATTCAGATGGCGAACACACACTTAAAGAAATGTTTAAATCCCTAACTCTAAGAGAGATGCAAATCAAAACAACTATGAGATAGCATCTCACCGTAGTTAAGAATAGCAAAATTCAACAGAGCAGCAAACCACATGCTAGCGAGGTTGTGGAGAAACTGGAACCCTTATTCATATTGGTGGGACTGTAAAATGATGCAAACACTATGGAAGGCTGTATGGCACTTTCTCAAAAAGTTGCAAATGGAAATGCCATTTGACCCAGCAGTCCCACTACTGGGAATATTCCCTAAAGAAACCAGAACTGCCACCCAAGCAGATATATGCTCACCCATGTTTACTGTGGCTTTGTTCACAATAGCAAAGAATTGGAAACAACCCAAGTGCCCATCAACAATTAGGTAGAGAAGCTGTGATATATTCACACAATGAAATATTATGCAGCACTGAAAAACAAAGAACTCATGAAATACTGTACAAAATTTGTGACTGTGGAGGACATTATGCTGAGTGAAATATCTCAGTCACAAAAAGACAAATACTGTATAATGCCACTGTTATAAAGCAGGACTGCCCAGGGCATTTGGGGGGGCAGGGAACTAAGAAAAGAGGGGATAAATAATATCCATGGCATTGAAACAGACGAGGGAGATAATTGTATAAAAGAAATATATGATTAGGTATTATTGGTATGACAACAGTACAGAATAAGAGCTGCTTAGTAAAGTAGTTGGGGGGGGAACTGTATAACAAGGAAAGAACTTTTTTTCCCAAAGGAAAAAGCAAACTGGGGGGGGGGCGCAGGGAGTAAAATGTGCAACAATGAATGAATGGAAATCCAACTTCTTTAAAAACTTACAGTAAAATCTCAATTAAAGAAAAAGTTTGTAGGGATCCAAGATGGCGGCTGAGGCAGAGACAGCGTGGTGAGCTGCGGGAGCAGCGAACCACTTAAAGAAGGGCCATCATGGCCTTCTACAGACTTCAGCTTATTGATAATTGAACACTTAAACAGTTGATGACTGGCCCTCAGTGAAGATCGAGGCTCAACAAAAGGAATTAAAGGATTCCCAAGGAGGAATGGGTAAGTCTCGAGGCTCCCAACCTCCTCCCGCAGAGCCTGCACAGTGCCGCACAGCCGCTGCAGCTCTGTGAGGCTTCCACAGCTGGAACCAATGGATTCCCTCCCCCAGGATGTATGCTGGGCACCGGTCCTCCTCAAGACTGGTACAGTGAAGCCACTACACTGCCGCAAGGTAGACTTGTTCTGGAGAGAATTCTTGGAGCCAGGATGGCGGCAGTGGGGGAAGCGGGCGCCTGCAGGCCGCCCCGCACAAGAGGGGCCGCGCCGCCGAGTGCCCGTGCGGCGGGGTGGGGGTGGGGCGTGCCCCCAACAGCTGCCCATGCTGGGGGTGGGGCATGCCCCGCTGGCCGCCTGTGTAGGAGGTGGGGGATGGAATGCATGTCTGCCATCTGCAGGTTTGGGTTTCCTTGGACAGGCCAAAGAAGACAATTACCTATACAATGGATTGCTGAAAGTCACTGTGAGTCTGA